AAAAAAAAAAAAAAAAAAGTTTTGCAAATATTTTATCCAGAAATATGAATTTTTTTATACAGAGTCCATCATATTGCTGCAGAGGCAAGTGCTTCCTAAATTGTTGTTTAAAAAGCATATGTAATCATAAGCTCTTTTCATAAAAAAATACTTGTTTATATTATGTTTATTTGCTTATCTTTTCATAGGTGCTGTTCTGTATACACTGATAATTACTTGTTCCATGATTTCTTTTGAACATGGATTTCTGGCAAGTTCCTGACGCAACCATTTTTAAATTATCGTTAGCAAAATGTTACTAACATGTGGTATTAATGATGCTGTTCAATATTTTCCACATTCTGTTGGATCTTCTTTCTTTGAAATGGGCACAAATATGAATCTCCTCCATTTGATTGGTCAGGAAGTCATCCTTCCAAATTTGTTGTTATAGATCAATGAGTACTTTGAGCATTTCATCTGTTAGAACATTTCTGATAGTATCCTGTCATTTCCTAGAATCTTGTTTTTCACCAATGCCTTGAGTGAGACTTCCTTGGAGTTCTTTCTGTAGCACCATTATTTCTTGGTAATATGCTACCTCCTGAAAAGTTGGAGTAGCAACTGATTGTTTTCTGTACCTTGATTCTGGGTGTTCCTTTCACCTGCTTTTGGTGGTTTCTAAATCTCAATATGAGAGACATTGAAAAAATCTCAAAGAAAAAAAGCTCTTTTTCTGCTGGCTAGTTTTAAAGAACCATTTTTTAAGTCATATATGGCATATATTATTAGGTATACAGTTATGCAGTAGGGAAAATTATATAGGCATAAGCATCATCTATGATATGTAAACATAAATACGCTGAGTACAGGTGACCTTAGAAATGAGGTGATTGGCAGGTACATGCTGCCCACTTTGGTTGGTTATTTTGTAGTTTGCTTTTCTAAAAATAGCACATGTCAGATTCAGAGAGCACGTGAGGCTCACAACTCTGGCTTAAGGACAGCAAACAGAATATTTCCTCTCTGTAGACTCCCAAGTGGGTCAATAATTGCCTAGTTTTCCATTTCAGCACTTGGACTTTAGATGTTCTTTACGGATTGTATCATAGTACGTTCATTCCACGTTTTCATATCAGGAACTTTGACTGGAACTGGGTCATTCTAAGTCAAGACTTCGTTCTACAAATCTAGAAAGGATCTACACTAGAATAAAGCTCAAAAGATCTGATTTCTCACTGAAAATAATAATTAAAATATCTCACATTTTCGTTTTATAGGCTAAGCTTCCAAACTATGGCATAGTACAAAAACACATCCTCAAGAACTGCTGCTTTTGAATACTATATTCTCGTTTCTTCTCCACGTTTATAATTTAGATTCTGTTTTCATGCTATTATGACAACATACATCTTGATCACATGGCACCTTGAAAAAGACTCCAATTTTTATGTCTCTTATTACAACCAATGTTAAGACTGGAATGTAGTTTTCTTAAAACCTGCTATCATAACAGTACGGAATGAGGGTTGCAGCGTGGAGTATACTTGGGGTAGGGGTGGGGATGTGCGGGGTGGGGAGGGGATTGTGTACAAATGGAGGAGTTTGCCTTTTGCTTTTCAAGGAGAGGTGCGAACTGGGGGTGGATGGGTGGGGAGAAAAGTGCAACAATGAATGAATGGAATTCCAAAATCTCTGTAGATGTTCATTGAAATTAATAATAATGATAATAATAAACAAACCACAAACCTTTGCATCCATAATGGAGACGCTCCTGCTGTCTCCCTCTATAACATATTGTCTAGTTCTAAACAAATTCCATCTGATCTTAGGGGCAGCAAGGAGACAGACCGCACTCGGGGGCATTTTTCATCTAGGTTTGGTGATTGCATTCTGAGTGGTGTTCCCTCTAACTGCAGGCTGTTTCTTCCACCTTTCACAGCCAAGTATTTTCACGTGTAGTGTAGTTTTTAACTCTTGTCTCCAATTTCTTCTGTGAAAAATAGACCTCTCAATAACAAGAAACTTCTTGCATTCTTATCACTGTACTAAAGGATCTATTAGCTTTAATCCTATCCCAAAATTATTAAATCAAAGCCATCATTCCCATTTTACAGCTTTTCATTTAAATTTTAATTAAAGATGTAATTAATTCAAACATTTAAAAATTCATTAAAAATTCACTAATATTTTTGAAAATTACATTAACATATAAATGTGTTTTTAAAATGCTTGGTGTTAAGAGTGTATAATTTGACAATGTGAGAGTAACATTGAGGTCATAAAAGAGTATGGCCCTTCCAATTTCTCTAACTAGTATAGGGTCATCAGAATGTTCCCTTTTCTCTACTCAATTTATCATTCATACTAATGGAACTTTACCTTTTCCAGAATCACTAATAATCTCCTATATGTTGTTGTTGTCGATTGCTGTCGAGTTGAGTATTACTCATAGTGACCCTATGAGCAAAAAACCCTGAACTCTGTTCTATAACCATCATCAATTCTCTATGTTCCTAACAGTTTCCAGAGGCTGTGGTTTCAGAAGTGGATGGCACTCCTGCTTCTAAACCTGAATCAATCTGGGAGCTGCACCAAACACTGTCGATGATGGGTGACCATTATAGCATTTGACATACCTGTGGTATCACAGCAACCCCAGATTACTTCAGGACAGCAGATAGACCACTGCTATATCATTTAGAAGAATGTTAATTCTTTAAATACAAGGTCTTGGTTAACTGTAAACCAAGACACTTCCAGCCCCAGCTCATTGTTAGCTAAATCCAGCATATCCTATCGGCTGGCACCCATTGTGGATGAAGAAAGAAACAAACAAAAAAACCCAGCAACCAAACTCCATACCTGACCCTCATCAAGAAAAGAGAAACCATCTTCCAGAATCCAACAAGATGTGTTCTGTCATAGATAAGGTCATAATGAATAGAAGTCGAAAGCACCTAGTAACAACAACAACAACCCCATGTACTTCCAACTCTTTGCATCCCTCCTCTCTCTCCACTGTCATTGTCCAGTTCATACACTCCTCAGCACGTGGTCTCCCTCCTTCTGGTCCTTCTCCTAGACCATCTACTCTTCCCAGAGAAATGATGCTAAGTAAAAACTTTATCACAACCTACTCTGCTCAAAACCCTGCACAGCTCCCACTCAGGACAAAAGGAAGATCAAGCTTCTTAGCACGCCCTTAAGGTGTCCTCCATTGTCCTGTAGTTTTCATTTCTTGCCTCCTTCCATCAGGAGCTTCCTTTTTAGCAACACTTTTGTTGTGGTTCCCCAGACACAGTAGGCTGTTTTATTCCATTGTCTCTTTACCCATATTATTATTGCTTGTTGCAGTCTTCCAAACTTTCTTCTCATAACCTCCTCCTCTAGAATGTTCTTCCTGAACTTCTGTAAAGGCTTTTCTTCTCCCTGTCCCCATTGAACTTGGGGTCCATCTCGTTCGCTGTCTACTCTCCATTCTGATTTTAAACTATCCATCAATATTGGGTCCCAGATTGTACAAACAGTAATACACTCAGCTGCTAACTTTACACCTGGAAGTTTGAGTTTACGCAGAGTCACCCAGAGGTTCCTTGGACAAAAGGCCCATTGAACTGCTTTCGAAAAATCAGTCACTAAAAAATCTTTGAGGCACACTTCTATTGTCATGTACATGGGGTCGCCGTGAGCTGGCATTAGCTTGATGGAAATTGGTTTTATCTGTTAAGGTTTCTGACTCTGGCACTGAGCTACAGCTTACTCAACAGTGAAGACTCCACATTTTTCATATTTACACTTTTCATGGTAAGCGTAACTAAAGGCACATAGCACATATATATGTACTCCACTTCTCATTTCTCTCTTTTCACAAACTTATTTACTGGGTTAACTGAAATAGTGAAGGTTGTAGTCCTCCCTTTATCTTCTGCTAAGAGGAAAGCAGTTCATTCATCAACTGATTTTAAATTAGCTCATTCACAATCACAATTGCATTTCATCTAGCAAGCAGTGGACCAATGTGACCAGTACCCTATTTGGGATGAAACCACAATATGGCAGTAGCTTGTTCAGAGTGTGGAGACTCATCCTGAAGCATATGACTTGAGAGATTGTTGTACTGGCGAAGACAAAAACTTTATAAGGTTCTCTGGGTGAATATGCAGGAATTTAGAACAAAACTGCTTCTGACATTATTGTTCACAATACTATTTTTTTTTCCACTCTCAGCCCATTTTTACTTTTTCCTTACAAATTGAGGTACTGTAGTTTCAAGGAGAGCAGGCTTTTAAAAAAAGGCAGTTGTACGTTGTCTGCATTACAGTTGTTCTCATGGTTATCCTCTCTTCCCTTGGAGATATTCCAATTGAAAGATCTCATAAGGTATATTCTCATTGGCCTGTCTGTCCTTTTTTTCTAACCACCTGGATTGGTAGGAAAGCTGTGGGCCTGCATTATAATAATTAAGTGAAAATAAGTGTGCTTTACAAGAGAGGCTTTTGCTTTTTGGTAATGTAATTAAAGCTCTTATAACTAAGTTTACTGACCGTCATCCAACTTGCTACTTTCCTTCATTAAGTTGTTAAAGGTCTTCTCATGCTGCAGTCGCACCTTTCTTCTCTCAAGAGCTAGATTATGTTCCACATGATCTTGTTCTGTCAAAAGTGGTACTGGTTTCAACCGAACCTAGAGAAATAACAATATTTTTATTTTTTTGTTAAATTATAAGATGGCAACATGCAGTTTGCAAAAATAAAATTAAATATGCCACATTTTGCCCCAACTCAAACTAAGCAGAGTAGTGATGAGTGTTTACACACAAATGTTATTTTGGCTACAATTTTGTCTTAACATATTTTTCAGCAAAATAAATCAAAATTACTTTTAATTAGCTAAATTACTACGGTACTATGCCATTTCTTCATCCAATAAGGTATGTGGTTTAAAAACTTTTCCAACTACGGATGGTTTCTGAATTTTAAAATTTCTGATTGAATCCCAGCATAAAGAATTCTTTATAAGAGAGAGTGAAATAAGAAGCTGGTGAAGTCTCAAAAAGAAATATTTCTACCTTTTTGCATAATTAAGATATCAAAAGGATACCTTAATCAAGACGATGACGTCTAGAGAAAGTGATCATGGACCAATTGATTCTCAACTAAGAAATTTCATCACATGGTGAAAATGTTACTTAAGACAATGGAAAGGGAACAAAAAAGGGAAAGCTCATCGGAATAAAGCTTTAACTGACTTCCACCACACTGGAAATACCGTACACCAGAACCAAAAGCCCATGTTCTTCTCTAATTGCTCTGTCTGCCAGATCTGAATTACCTTGAAGTCAGGCATGGGAATCTGTATATTGATTTCCGGGACACTTAATGCATACTACACACCCAGGCTAAGGATGAAAGAAGGCAGGGATTGGCAACATGCTGTTTAATGTTCACAGTTCTGCTGGATATAGCACGCACTGCTGTTTTCAGGTATCATGGAGTCGGTTTCAATTCCGCAATCCTCTGTACAACAAACCAAACATTGGCCAGCCCTGCCTCACACTCCCGACCACTGCTGTGGTCCCAAGTCACCACCACAGTGTCAGTCCATCTTATTGAAGATCTCCTTCCACTTCTCTGATTCTCTGCTTCTTCTTCAGCAATGGTTCTCTCTTCAGGATGCATCCAAAGTAAGAGAGAGGAAGGCTCACCATCCTTGTTTCTAAATCTCACTAACCTGACCTCGAAACTGTTTAGAAATATACAAACTTATGATTTGCATAGATTTACTGTTTATATGGCTTCGTTTGGATTTATGGTCAGTGGTATACAAGAGACAAAATGGTAAATTTGTGCCAAACTACCTCCCCTGTATTGTTGTTCATAATCTACAAAGTGTATTTTATGTAACTGAAATGTTCCTGAGAGTCTTGAACTACTCTCACATTTATCTGTACTTTTTTCTACTGTGGTTTTACTAAACGCTTTATGAGTATACCCAGTGGAGTCTTGTGATTTTTTTTCCCAATTATCTTACCCTGCTCAATTGTCAAACTAAGTGGACTAAATCACTGCCCGTTTTATCCTGAATAAATTAATCATGGCCAGAAATCTGGGTAGTCCTCTAGGCTCGAGTCAAATCACTAATTTTCCATGGTTCTTTCCATGATGAGCTACTGAATAAAATTGATACCAAGTGGAAAATAAGCTCGTCTGGGGAAACTCCTTGACAATTAAGATTATCTGGAGCATCTAATTATGTTGTTGTTGTTGTGTGCCACTGAGTCACCTGCAACTCATTAGCAATTATATGTGCAATAGCTCAGAAGCCCCTGTCCTGAGCCAGTCTCACTGACTTTAATACACCTACCCACACTGCTCTAGTTTCTGTATCAATCTATCTTACGCAGGGTCTTCCTTTCCTGCGCTATCCTTCCAACTTTCCAAGCATGATGTCCTTCTCCAAGGATTGATACTTCCTGGCAACATGCCCAAAGTATGTGAGACAGAGCTTCAAATTCTTAGCCTCCAAGGAGAATCTGGTTTCATCCTCTCTGTGACAGACCTATTTGTTTTATTGGAGGTCCATGGTATGTTCAAGACTTTTTTCCAACACCACAACTCAAAGGCATCAATTCTTCTTCTATCACCCTTAGTCATTATCCAGCTCTCTGAAGCATAGCAAATAATGGCAAAAATCATGGACTTGATTAGGAGCACTTTAGTCTCTAGACTGACACCATTGCTTCCCAGTACTCTGGAAAGATCCATGACAGCAGATCTACCTAATGCAATATGCCTCTTGATTTCCTGACTGCTGTGGTGCCAAAGGTGTTGCTTGAGGAGCTGAGCAAGCTGTAACTCTTAACTACCTCAATCTCTTCTCCATCCATCATGGTGCTGCTAATTGGCCCAGTGGTGAGAATCTTTGTCTTCTTGATGTTGAGCTTCAATCCATATTGATGACTGCAGCAAACACGTCAGGTCCTCCTTAGTTTCAACAAGCAAGGTTGTGTCATCTGTATAACATAAGTTGTTGATAAATCTTCCTCAAATCCTGACGCCTATTCCTCCTCATAAAGCCCAGTCTCCTGAATGATCTGGTCTGCATATAGATTGAAAAAGGTATGGAGACAGGACACATTCCTGATTCACTCTCTTCTTTATTTTAAACCATGAAGTGTTTCCTTGCAATGTTCTGAGGACTGCTTCCTGGTCCAAGAATAGGTTTTGCATAAGAACAATCAAGTGTTCTGGGATTCCCATTCTCCTCAAGATGAATCACAGTTTGTTGTGATCTACAAAGTCAAATGCCTTTGCATAGTCAATGAAACACATATCCCTCTGGTACACTTTGTTTTCTGCCAAGATCCATCTGACATTGGCAATGATGTTTCTAGTGCCACAACCTCTTTGAAATCTATTTTGTATTTCAGGTAGTTTTCTGTCAGTGTACTGTTCCAGTCGTTTCTGCATAATCTTCAGTAGGATTTTGCTTGCTTGTGATATAAATGACATTGTATGATCATTTCCACACTCTGTCAGGTCACCTTTTTTGGAATGGGAATAAATATGTATCTCTTCCAGCAACCAATCATAGGGTAAGGTAATTGACTTTTGAAAAATCATTCTTCAGGTTTAGTAGATGTCAGGCTGAAATGTGACTATGGTATTTTTATGCCACCAGTCCCCAAAGTCATAGTGGTCTAAGATTGGTGGAGGGACATGAGCTCTCTCCTTGCTTCTTCACATGAAGAAATGGGACAGTGAGTTGAAATTGCATTTTGTCACTCTCAGCTACTTTTCTCTGACATGGAAACTAGGCACCAAGTCTAACGACTAGTAAAGAAGTACATGGCATCAGGATTAGAAGAAGAACCATCAACAACATATATTGTGCAGATGACACAACTGCATTTGCTAAAAATTAAGAAATCTTGTAACACTTACTGAGGAAGGTCAAAGATTACAACCTTCAGTATGAATTACACTTAACAGCAAGAAATCTAAATTCCTTACAATTGGACCAGTAGGCAATATCATGATAGATGGGGGAAAGAATGACATTATCAATGGTTTAATTTTATTTGTATGTTCATTCAACACCCAAGGAAGCAACAATCAAGAAATCAAGACATGCTGCATTGGAAAAATATGCTTTTTAAGGACCTCTTTAGAGTATCAAAACACAGGGATGTCACTTTAAAGACTAAAGTGTACATGAACAATGAACATGGTGTGCTCATTTACATGTATATATGTGCAAGTTGGACAATGGAAAGACAAATGAAGAAGAATTGCCTTTTAATTGTGATGTTGGCAAAAAATCTTGAATATACTATGGATTGCCAAAAGGCCAAACATTAATTATGGTGAAATTTTGTCTCATAAACTTTGGACATGTTATGAGGAGAGGCTAGTCCCTGAAGAAGGTTATCAAGGTGGGAAAGGTGGGAAAGATCATACAGGATATGGATTGGCATGACAACTACAACCATGGGCTGGAGCACAATGGAGACTGTGAAGAAAGTATGACATTGGGCAGAGTTTCAATCTGTTGTCACCATGACTTGGAATCAACTCAATGGCTTCTAATAACAAAGGCAGCAGATATTGAGGATATTCTGTTTGAACTGGCTTTGGAGCTTATTTAATGTTGGACAGAGTGGCAATATTGTTTCAGTGCATAAAGCTCTACAAGGGCACCTGCCACAACGGCTCCAGGTGCATGACCTCAGGCCCAGCTCATCTCTTTGTCTCTTCACTCAGGGAAGGAAGAGCAGTGTGTGTGCTGTTCTGGTATCACTTCTGTTGGACACAGTGGAAACATTGCTTTGTCCCAGCTCTGCTATTGGAGGTGTCCAGGAAATTACATTTTCCCTTCAAAGTAAAGCTAAAAGAAGCCATTGTACTTACTTTAAGAGGGAGTCTTTGGGTAAAAGATTTCAATTCTAAATAAATAATTACATTAAAATATGTTTAACACAATGGAACCCTTCCCAGCCTCAGGGACTCTGCCCTTAACAAGGAAAGGCCAGTCATTCTAGTGAGTAAATCTACAGCTTTGGAGGAAGAGCTATGGCCAATGACCAGGAAAGCCGTTGAGCTACACACAGTAGCCCATGTAGTTCTTTTAAGAATTTTTCATTGATTATACAAAGGCATTTGACTGTGTGGATCATAACTAACTGTGGCTGACTCTGGGAAGAATGGGAATCCCAGAACACTTGATCGTGCTAATGCGAAACCTATACTTGGACCAGGAGGCAGTCGCCAGAACAGAGAGCAAGGGAACACTGCATGGTTCAAAATTGGGAAGGGCGTACGCTAGGGATGCATCCTATCTCCATACCTTTTCAACCTATATGCAGAACAGATTATCCGGGAGGCTGGGCTCTATGAGGAGAAATGTGGGGTCAAGATTGGTG